AGCAGGAAAGGGAAAAGCACATATCACGTTCAGGTGCTGGCAACAATAAAATTAGTTGTGGATTGTGGCATATAAAATGCAGGCTTAGCCTTTTTTCCTCAAATGTAAAGGCTATAGGCATTTGCAAAGAAGACCCAGACAGAAAAGTGTCTGGAATACAAGCTGCAAGGCAATTACATGAATGAAATTCTGTATTACACTACTAGCTATAGAAGGACATCAAAAAAGAAAAAACCCAACCAAAAAAACACCCTTCCATTGAGCAATATCAGTCAAACCATAGGTGGGCTGGTATGCTGAAGAAATACTTGTAATCAGCTTGTATTATGCACAGTTAAAAAATAACAGCTTTATCTTGAAAGCACCCCTTGTCCCCACAAAATGCTAGAGGCTCTTGGATAACCATCATAAACCACTTCGTCCTGAACAGAAAGCACTATGTATACATACTAAAGCACAGAGAGTTAAAAAGAAAACTAAATACCCACCCGATCACTGGATGTTTGAAACCAAGTTTCCTTGTAGCTTCCTCTATTTCTTTTTCTAACCAGGGCTGTGGACGTATCAAGTATTTCACAAACTGCGAGACCCACCACACCGCAGGATCCCCATGTACACGAATTAGCCTATCAGCCAGGTCTTCAGGAACAGCCAGCGGTAAATAAGGTGGCCGTGGGTGTAAGCTGTCAACAATGGGAAGTTCCACCACCTGAACATCCTTATCATTAGCCTCACCTGTTTTAAAATACATACTAGGATGAGTCAAGTAGGTTATTAATAAGCTTTACCATTGGCAAGTAACATCCCAAACAGATCAGCTAAACTGTATCTTCAAAAGAAGTACCTAACCCTTGCTCTACTTTTTCAAAATAGCATTAAAAAACTTAAATAGATTTACATACAAACTGTATCTAACAATCCACTCCAGTCAGAACAATGTTGAAGGTCCTTAAATTTTTAGCAGCTAGTAATTAATAAAATTTAAGAGGTATTCCTGTTTATTAATACTTTTTCATATACAACTTGATCATTACTTTGTGCTAAGGCTTGCTTGGACAGACTTGTTATGTAAAATGGTTATAATTCAGTTACTTGTTTAAAAAATAAAAAAGATAAAGGCATAAGAAATTGTAAAAAAAATAACTATACAGCCCTGCTGCTCTTTTGAATGTATTATTGCAGTAAATCTCAGCATTTCAGACATCATTAGGACTGCTGAATTAACTTCTCTACTGACAGAAGGGGAGAATGGACAGAAAGAGACAATCCCTGTCTTGAAAAACTTAAACTATGAAGATAAGTACCAAATTGAATAGATCAAGGAAAACAGCTGTTGTGGTTTAACTGAGTGGTTGCGTGGTTCTGAGCTTCTGGCTGAGCTTAAACCACGACAACAGTCAAGCACTATACAAGCATGCGATTTACATACGGGTAAGAATTTGTTTTAAGTACTAACTGAAGTGGAATACACAAGTGGGACTTTCAAGGATCAATAAACCACTAAATACTTTTTATAAGAGTTTTTACAAATTACATGAACATAAGTGTCTACATAATTGATAATTCAAAGCTAGTTTCAGATACTGCAATAAATTTTAATACATGACAATATAATACAAAGCATTGCAGTTTTGAAACATCAAACATTTCAGGTGAGACTTCTAGTGTGCTCATTTCATCCAAAAGAATATTTTTATTGTCTGCAGTGTTTACTGGCAAAGATGACTCTGTTCAGTGCTCACCAGCCACAACAGAAAAATGTTTAAATATAAACAAATCAAACTCATGTAACTTTTGATTGCAAGTTAAACCTAATGATTGAAAAAATCAATCCAGTGCAAGGTTAATGATTCTCATTTTAAGAACAGTGAGAAATCCCTAAGGTTAAAACACTTTTATATGCACTAAAAATAATTTCAACATAGTTGTGGCAAAGTCCTATAAATACAACTGCATGCTGAAGTCATACATTGCCAGAATGCTACATTAACACTACTGAGCCTACTGAACTACTCAAATTTCAGCAGTAACTCTCTAAGAAATGGCTATTTCAATAAGGAATGTTTGCTATGATCAGGTATATTTTCAATTAATTTTTATTAGATTTGGAATATCTGTCCTCACAGCTGTATCTATATGCTGATGTTTCATCACTACACTGTGTAACACTGTAAAGGGATCTTTTACAATAATTTCCCATAGAATATGTACTGCAGGTATGGATGATACTTTTTAATTCAAGAAGCCAATTCATATTTTTACCATCTATTATATCACATACCATATTCAGAAATATTTAGTAAAATTTCATAAACCTAGTACAAATACTGAGCATTTAAGTTTTCTAATAATTAGATGGATAATATTTTATCAGCATTTCTTAAGAAAGCCACAATAAAGAAAAGCACCCTGAAACCAGAATGTGCTAAATCTGGTGCAGGTGTGGAGTATTAGTCAGAAATCTAGTGAAGAAACATTCAGCTTGACTATTGTATGAAATAAATGCTAGGAATGATAAAAACCCCAACTGTTACAGCTGAAACCAGGACAAGGTTCCATCCTTTTTATACTTTCCCCCTCAACTGAGAGAGGGGGGAAGGAATAAGATGGCAAAAGAAGCAACAGCAATCTTAGCCAAGAGAATTAAAAAAGACTCCAATCCTACGTTAGAGGAGGAAATTTGCTGCAATTCTGAGAAGAAAATGCAGAGATGCAAAGGTGCATATAAAGAGATGAATTTTTATCAAGTCTGGTATCACTGGCAATTTCTTAAACTTCAACCTATCACTGGAAAAATATGTTGTTGTGTGAAGACAGCCACTTCGAAAGTCTTGCCGTTGATGAAGCTGATCGAGGGACCTAACTCACTATTTGGCATTCTGGCCCTGAAAAGCACCCTATACATAGTTCCATACTATTTAAAGGATAACGGTGTGCTCCTAAAAATTTCCATAGGCTTTGAAGAAAATGAGATTGGCCAGCAATAACTACAAAAGCTCTCAGCATACAGCAAACTAGATTAAATATACCAAAATCACAAGAATAACAAAGAAGACTGCGGGAGGGGGGAGGGAGAGAAGAAACCAAAACAAACATCTCAGCTTTCAACTGTATGTGATACACTGATTGAATAGTAATGAAGTTGCAAGACTTGCTGTGAATCAAAATCAGGAACAAACAAAATATACTTCATTGAGACAAAACAAATAATTTGGTTGTGTAAAATTACCTACCAGCTCTAGCGTTAATGAGCACACTTTGAGATATGGAAAACTACTTTCTGAGAAGGAACTGAAAGCATCATATAGTTACTTCACAGAGAAGATTAAGAGTTCCTTACTTTGTAAAACTACACAATAGGAGACTCAACATGGGAACTATTACTGAAAGTATGGGTTACAAATAGTAATTCATTAAATGAAATATTCACAAATACAGATCAAAGAATGTGTTGTTACTGCAATTAAAAACTATGAAATGGTTCAGAAGCCCCTCATGCTTCAGAACTTTTGCCTGTTCTTGTTGACAAAATAGTTCTGACACACAGAGTGTTGTGTTGAGAATATGCGTATAATTAAAAAACCCCAACCAAACAACTATCAATATGGTCATTGCTATGTTAGAACAATGTTCTATTTTGTTATCAGTTGATACAAAATTAGAAGAGGGCAAGGGCCATAAGAACTTAATCCAAACATACAAACTTCTGATAAAGCACAGCAATTTGTCACCACTGCTGAGAACATCTGTGCAAGCAACCATGCAGATATGGGAACAATTCTAGGAAACTTTTGCCAGCTTTCTAGTCTTTATTACCTTTATTATGGTTCTGAACAACAAAGAAAAAAAATCCTATTAGTCTTCACTCACTTTAAAAAGAATGAGCTAGCAGATGCAGCAGAAGGAAAACTTACAGCAACTGTTAGCTCTTGTACTGGACAAAACCAGTGAAGAGTAACTCTCTAGTAACCTGATGGAGTAAACAACCCTCTGCAACAGCCATACTGGCAAGTGACAGCTTTCTTATCCTACTGATCTTTTTTCAGTTTTCATTTTAAGGTTCCTAATAGGCAATGATCTTGTCCTATTTTCAACAGATACAGTTTAAAAAACTTTCACGGAAATTCTGGATAGCAGGATAATGTTCTAGTTCACTCAGAAATAAGCTGCAATCAAAATCGATAATATATTCCATAACCAAAACTCAGTCAGATTGATTAGCAAGCATAAACATTGCAAAAAATTAAGTCACGTTCTTGACTGGTATGAATTGTAACTGTTCAACTGAAGATAGTGAAGTTGGGTTAAAAATACAGAATGAACTTTTTATCCAGAAATTTCTTCAGTTTTTAGCTATGTATTCTCTAAATTTTAGAATAGTTCAGTCCTTCCACTTCCCGGCTGTGTTTTATTAAATAATAGATAAGCCATAGAAGGTAATAATCCATATTAATGCTTGTATGTTTTTCTCACATTGGTAGTTCAAATCACGGTATCATCATGTCAATCAGTCCAATATCCCGCAGGTCCAACTTTGACATTTGATCACAGAATAATTTAGATTGGAAGATACCTTTAGAGTCATTTACCTACATTACTATAGGTCATCTACATCTCAGCAATACTTCAAGCTACTTCTTCCCATGTGATTTACTTTGCTTTTACAGTTGCCAACATTTGCTGCTATAATTCTATTTATAGCTTGTTTAACTTTCATAAGATTCCAGGTGCTATTTCTCAGTTTGGATTTACCTAAATAATTGTTCTCCAAAGTTCTGCAACATAATTAATTTTTCCTTCACTGCATGTTATTTGTAATAGGCAAAGTACTGCAATATTGGTAACAGTCACTCTTTGATCATAACAACATATTCTGGAGGAATATCACAGACTGTAAACAAGTTTATTTTTATTTAGATGACCCATGCTACTTGCACCACCTAGTTCTTATTCATCACCATTTTTTGGCTATGTTCATCACTAACAGATCAGTAACACAGTTTCAATTTTCAAGTGTCCTAATGATTATTTTTTAAATACTGAAATGGGCTGTGCTATAAAAGCCATAATTTAGCTTCCCTGAAGTATCTCAATGGACTTTGTAGCCCACAGGACTTACGTAATTTTTCATGATTTGCCATAATCTTACTGCCTGTCTACTTCTCAAATTTTATCATTGTTCTCCTAATTAGAGCCCATTTAGAAATTTTTGCTATTTATAGCTTTCATACCAACTTCTTTGAAGCCTGAAAAACGTTGGTTTGGCTCAAAACAAGCTCTGGAATTTGTCAGTTTACCTTACCTTACTTCCTACTCTCTGAACATTGGCTCAGACCTGTATTTACATGGGTGTTCATTACTTCGGGCAGCACAATGCCAGCTTTGTTTCAAATAACAATCAATACTCTTAGTTAACGTTAACTGAAAAACCTGTTTAAGCACTTTATTCACGCTATTATTCAAAATTCATCATCTAATTTCAAAGTATTATTACAAGAAGTTGTCCTTCAGAGTATGCCAAGGAACACTGAGCTAAGGACATTCCTGTTGTGTAAATGAGAACTTGCATTTAATTTCAGTTTGTGTTGCTAGACATATAACTGAATAAACACAAATAAAAATGGAATAGCTTCATTACTTTCCTGTTTCTATAATATAGACTTCTTTTAGCTGGTAACAACTTGCATAATCACCGCACTACTTAACTAAGCTCTACAACCTGGAAGACAACCTGG